TAGGTCTGTAGATAACCCTTTCTCTTTACCTTCCCACGCCAAGGGGTCTGTGGCTAGCGTCGCTAGCAACCACCAGCTGGAGAGGCATGCGCCAGGCCCCTCACCGCTCGAGACCTACCCCCAAGACCTCAGGAGACCTCCAGGCAGCCCCGAGGACACCCAAGGAATCTCTTTGCTGGATACCACAAGGTCGAGGCCCGAGGAGAACCCGAAAGACTCCAGTCCAGGAAGCTCGACCCAGGGAACCCCGAGGGAACGCCGAGGCCTGAGGAGGGCTAGATCGGAGCGGACAGGCGGCTAGCCTCTAGACAGCGTGGGGGTAAAATCGCCTCGCATCCACGAAGTAGGCCAGGCACTACTATAGGGTGGCGCGGGCGGGAACCACAAAGAGATCTACGAAGGGATGCGGCGTTTCTCGGCTTCCGAGTGTTATGTTACAATCGTCCCGATAACTGCTCATAACCCTTTCTCTTTACCTTCCCACGCCAAGGGGTCTGTGGCTAGCGTCGCTAGCAACCACCAGCTGGAGAGGCATGCGCCAGGCCCCTCACCGCTCGAGACCTACCCCCAAGACCTCAGGAGACCTCCAGGCAGCCCCGAGGACACCCAAGGAATCTCTTTGCTGGATACCCCAAGGTCGAGGCCCGAGGAGAACCCGAAAGACTCCAGTCCAGGAAGCTCGACCCAGGGAACCCCGAGGGAACGCCGACGCCTGAAGAGGGCTAGATCGGAGCCGACTGGCGGCTAGCCTCTAGACAGCGTGGGGGTATTCCACGGACTCACAAAAATTGGCACGGGAGGACTCACGTGTCGTGTCTCAAGATCTCTTTCACAGCGTATCACATCTGCTCTGACTCTCTTCTGCAACAATCGACTGATAGAGACCACGCGCAAAGTGTTGGATCAACATATGGTCATCAGGAGCAGGAGTGACCTGGACTATGTCTGCAACCGCTTGCTCAATGTAAATCTTTGCGGTCGTCGCTGAACCCCATCTGCCTCTCATGATCGTTGTCCCCATACTTTGATGCGACATGAAGTCGTACGTGGCACCACCACGACGGCATGAATACCATGAGAAGCGGAAATCCTCGAGGTGAAAGAACGCCAGCAGCTTTTTCAGGCAACTGCGAAGCTGCGCTGGCGACCGTGTGCTGATCGTGTCCGGAGGCGCTGCGTGTGCATACCAGCGCTTGACCAGATCCACGGCGATGGGGCAGTCGACAACGACCATCTCGGTAGTGGCTTTGCGGTACCCTGTCTTGGTCTCAGGCAAGCGGACAATCACTCTGTCATTGATGATCGCAACCTGCTGCTTGGACAATGTGAACAACTCTGTTGTGCGCAAAAGACCTGCGAAACCCAATGCGAGGAGGGTGCCGATATCCACAGCGTCGCACTCGATGGCGAGGGCGGTTAGTTCCAGAATGAGCTCTGGCGTGAACGGCAAGGCGCGAACAGGCGGTTCGCATCGCCTCCAAGCCTTGAGCAGACTCCATGACAACCCCAAGCTCTATTTGACTGAGGGAAAGAAGAAGCCTATCCCAGCGACAGCATAGCTGGCAAAGCTAACGGGCTGGCCTTCGCTCCAGAGCATCTCTATGTACTCGGCGATGCCCTCGTCGGTGTCCAGCGGTCCTGAGGGCTTGAGGCCTACGGCATCCCAAAAATCGAGGACGCGCTTGGCTGCTGCTCTGTAGCGGTGGAGCGTGGTGGAGGTGACTCGGAGCAGCTTCAACCGAGTACCACGCTTCGCCGAGTGTGCCTTCCTCGCCCTTTGAAGGAGTGTTTGCGGACCTTCTGGGGCTGTCGGAATGGCTTCCCTGGCCCCCTCGCCTTCCACTGGCGTCTGGAGGGAACGTCGGCGGGGTTGTCCTCTGTCGTGATGTACCCGATGATGGGGTAGAGGCCTCCCGCCGCACAGAGGGCGGCCCACTTGCGCAGGAGCCATTGCAGCCTGGTGCTGGACGACCGCCCCTTCGTAGCGATCGCTGCCACTACCTGCGAGTCAAACAGGTGGACAAGCCTGGCGCTGAGGTGCTTTGTGGAGCGAGTCCTCCAAAGCAGGGCTGCGACTCCCGCCTGCAGCTCGCGGGCGTTGATGTGGATGTCAATGCTGCCCTGCCACCTCAGCGAGACCACGACTCTCCAGTTCCAGTTGAAGGGGCTGATGCTCGCCCGCGGCCGCGCCTTGGGTCGATAAGGCAGGCCCACGTCTAGGCGAATGTCGCTCCCACTGCGATCACTTAGTGCAAGGAACTCGCCTGTGAACTCTGAGGCCAGCTTCTTGTCGTACTCGGCTGTGCCCTTCGTGTAAGTGCCGACCTCACCCCAGGCCAGCGGGCACGCCCCCCGCGCGAACAGAGCTTCAGCAGGTAGCTCGCGAGCAAGGAGTCCTCGAGCCAGAAACAGCTGCTGGAGGAGCCATGAGACCGAATCCACTGAACAAGAGTTGCCCAAGAGAAAGCTCCTCGTGTCAGCAACTCCTTGGGCCTCAGGGTCCTTGTGGGCAACCCTTGTGTAATGCTTGTCGAATCCCAGCAGGGCCTCTCTCTCCTCGGGGTTAGGCGTGCGGAGGCTACCATCCAGGTCGTTCCGAAGCATGGGGGTCTCTTCATACCAGCCCAAGTGATAGCGATAGCAGTCCTTCTCCCACCTCCTTTTTGCAGCGTCCGAAGCAGAGCGGAGGCCTGCAGGCATCGCAGGTCTACTTGAGGCAGGCCGCGGGCACACAAGCGTCGGAACTGGAGCAGCGCCGCCTCCCCAGGTGTCAGCCAGCTTAGCGACGTCCTTCTCGGAGATCGATCGGATATCACCCCAATCTGCGGTTCCAGGTCATCGGAGTCGCACGACTCGTCTAGCAGGCTTGTCAACCTCGCTGCACACCATGCCGATGATGTCGACTGGCAGCCTGGATACTGCCACAGCCAGCGCGGCGACGCCGTCGAAGAGGCTCACGATGAGCACCCTGGGCCGCGGCCGCCCACCTGGCAGCGACGGGGAGCTGCGTGCGGGCTGCAGGTCGCTGCGGCCTGGCCCCAGCACCGGCCTAGCTCCCTGGCGGGCGGCCCTGAGCTGCTGGACTGCCAAGGGCGTGAGGCCAGTGGAAGCGCACACTCCACCTCCAGCCTCCGAGGCATCCGAGACGGTGGCGACTGGCGACAGCGCGGCCCTAAGGTCGGTGCACGCGATGGGCAGGTACCCGATGCACGCGAGCAGCTCCTGGCTCATGCCCATGTTGATGCGCCCTCCTCTCGTCCTGGTGGAGAACTCCCAGACCGAGTTGAGGCAACTCAAGAGCGGCCGCCTGAACTCCAGGGCCCGAACGGCGCGGCCCAGCAACGTGAGCATAAGCAGCCATGGGCAGCAATCGCGGCCCAGGGCGTACAGGATGTAGCGGACCAGCTCGATCACCTTGTCAGCAGGGGCCCTGATCGTACCAGCGCAGCCGTCGATGGACGCCCCCATCCTCTCGAGCTGCAGCTGCCGCGCGTGGCTTTTCTCCTCCGCGTAGGCGACCTCTGCCTGGGTGTAGGCGCGCCGCATGGCGAGCTGCATCTCGCCTGGGGTGCCCACGACCCGATACGCCTCTGCCGCCTCCAGGACCTCGGGCGCATCAAAGTCATCGCTGTAGACCTGCCACCACGCGTGAGGATGCTGCCTCGCTAGCGGCCAAGGCTGATCGCGCCTCCACTCCGCTTCTGCAGGCAAACCAGCTCCTAGACGCGGTGCTCGCAAGGCCAGGCGGCGGTGCAGGTGCTGGAAGAGGGTGACTGCGAGGACCCAGCCCATGGGGATGACGCGGAACGCTACGTAGACCAGGTGGTCTCCTGGCAACCCAGCAGAGCTCGCTGGCACGGGCACCGAGACGGCCATTCTGCCATACCAGACTGGCGGCAGTTTCCAGACATAGAAGGCGCCCTTCTGGTCGTCGCTGCTCCACACCATGACGCATCCTGCTGGCAAGTGGAGGCTGGTCCATGAAGTGGAGGCCGCCAAAGTCGACGTGTCCTCAACGATGTTGCGGAGGTAGGCGTTGGAGGGTATCATGTTGAAGATGAGGCGCGTGCATCTCGACTGGCCCTCGAGTGGCTTGCCCTTCTTCTCGCGAGCGAACAGGCCGTTGAAGACCTTCTGGCCCCGCGGCGCAAAGATGTCCGCCTCGTCGACCACGCCCAAGATGCCGAGGCCAATCAAGTGCTCTGCGACCTCGTACCAGTCCTCGAGCCTCTCGCAATTGACTCGGGCGCGAGGAGGGTCCAGCGGCCACTCCGCAGCAGGCAGCGTGACAACTCCAGGGTCCATGAGCCACTCCAGGATGTGCTCGTCAACGAACTCCTCCGTCTGGAGCTGCGCGGCATGCTGTTTGCCGGGAAGGCCTGGCATAAGCTCCGCTAGCTTGATGGGCAAGGCCTCGCCCTGCTCCTCACCAGTGTAGTCGACCCTGAGCTTGCTGATCTTCTGGGACCAGTCGATGTCAGGCCGACGAGTCAGTGGGTCATTTAAGAAGCCGTCGACGTGGGAGATGATGGTCTTGTAGGCGGACCGCTGGGCAAGATGTAGCATTGGCGAGTGCCTCCACAGGCGAGGGTCACCTCGACCAACGTACTCGAAGTTGAGAGACCGCACCACTATGTATGACCAAACTTCTCTGGCGACTAAACGCCCGTCAATCCTGAACCTCTGACGCTTCCTTCTCGGTCCGTCCTGAGATGCGACCCATGCTCGTGCGAGCGTGAGGTCGGGGAGGGCCATCGGCAACAGGTCACGCGCCCTTACCTGCGGCCCTCCAGTCGTGGGAAGGTGTGGACGAAACTCACGGCAAAACTTTCCAAGGCGGCCTGGGTGCTGCCAATGCAAGGTGACGATGGCGATGCCCAAGTCCAGTAAGTGCGGCGTGGCGGGTACAGCTCGAGTCGCAGCTGCCCTCCACGCGGTCAAGTCAGTGCAGTGTTCAGGCCAGCGAGGCTGCGCGTCGGTGTTCGGCGCTGCCGCGTGGCCTACTTCGCGGGTCGGTCCTGTCGCCCGCGAGCCTCCTGCATGAGCTTCCCGAGGCGCATGCCGTAGGCTCCTCGCGTCTCGCCTTGCCTCTTCGGGTGGGCGTCCTTGATGGCCTTCCAGGAGACCTCCTTCGGCGTCGCCTCCTTCGAAACGTCCTCGCGCAGCTGCACTGTCCGCTGCGGCCCTGGCGTAGGGCGGCGGGCTGCTGCTGCTGGTGCTGCTGGTAGAGGTAGATCCTTGACAAGGTCCGCAGGCGTCCGAGGCCCAGGCAGCTGGTGTGCCGCCTTGCCTTGGCTCCCGCCAGTGTGGCCTACAGGAGGGGAGTTGCTCCTCGGCGGCTCCCTCTCCCGGCCTGACCCCTAGCCCCGCTTGAGCTTGGACAGCAGCTCCTCGAGGCGCAATTCGCCCAGCTCGACTGTGCGCGCGATCTCCTCATCCTCCGTCCTGAGCGCAAGCTGCTCGTTCGAGGGCGGGATGAGCTCCAGCCAGCGAGCACCTGACCAACTCTTGTCAATAGCGAAAAGCTGAAGCGCCTTGAACCGTTGACTCAGCACGTCCAAGGCGTAGGCCGCCTTGCCCGAAAGGATGGCATCCGCGGCCTCGCAGACTGTCCCCATCTCGCGGTAGACCTCAATCCCGATCGACTTGATGGGGTTCTGAGGGATGAAGACATTCAAAAAGTACTGCAGGAAGATAGGCGGGAACTCCCCCCCCGCCTCCTCACCAACCTGCGTGGTGACATACTCACTCATCTTGGCCAGTGCCTGTTCAGAGAGAAGCCCAGGGAACTTGGCGGCAATCTGGCGAAAATGACCTCGACGAGAGGCGAGACCTCGCGGGACAGCCCCATCACTACTGCCGCTGGCGCCACTAAGAACTGACTGCAAAACGTCACCAGTGCCGCTCCTGCTGGCCGCCGCCTCAAGCAACAACTGGAGAAGAGGCCCCTCGCCTCCTGCCCCAGTGCTACCGCTCGCGGCCCTCGCGGCCGCCTCTGCTGGCACCTCGGGCGCGCGCCTCTTGTCGGCCCTGTCCTGCACGACCTCCTCCAGCGGCCGCTTGGCTCCGCCGCGCGCAGGGGCTGCTCCAGCCACCGCCTCGCGAAGCTTCTCCGTCGGCTGCTTCCCCGCAGGGGCTGGCTGCAGCGCCCCGCGAAGCCGATCGAGCCGAGCGCGAAGGTCGCCAGCCTCGCGCGCAGGGGGCGCTACGGCTGACAGGCGGGCGCCTGCCTCCTCTAGCGGCGAAGCCTGCAGGGCAGCGGGCTGGCGGCTGCCGACGCGCGCTGGCGCCGCCCTGGGGTGCGAGCCCGAGGCAGGAGCAGCCGTGTCCTGAACCGCGCAGCTGTCGAGCGGCATGCCGAACTCGTCCAGCGCGACCTCCGTCGACTTGCGAGCCGCCGCCTCTCCTGTAGGCTCGGGCCCGGACTCCTCTGGCCAGCTGGCCCAAGAGTCCACCGCCTGGCACTCCAGATAGAACTCCGACGCCTCCGCTGCGTCGACCTCCTCGAATTCCGAGACGTGAATCAGCGCCCCGCGGGAGGCGCTCGGCGTGGCGAGGCACATCTCCTCCGCGCAGAAGTGATAGAGCGGCCGCCCTGCCCCGCCGCGCTCCACGGGATGAGCCATCCACCAGGCCCAGTAGCCGTCGCTGCAGCAGATCTGCTCGGCCCGTGCGAACTGGCCCTCCTCGTCGGGCGGGTGGGCGCCTACCGCCTGGATGAGGTATTCACCCTGCGGCCGCGACTCTGCGTCGAACGCCGCGCAGCGATACAGGCGGCCAACCTGCGCGAGGAAGCCGAGGGCGGCGGCCTCGGGCTCCACAAGCGAGAGGTCGGCAGGCACCTCCTCCTCACCAGCAGCGCCCACCATGCCTGAGCGCGTGAGACCTGGGAAAAGAAGCGAACGGATCACGCCAAAACCTCGAGGCAAGGTCCTGCTGAAGGAGGGGCGCCTGGACCTCACCCCTCTCTCAAGAGGGAAGAAACATTTGAACCACACAGAGATCTACGAAGGGATGCGGCGTTTCTCGGCTTCCGAGTGTTATGTTACAATCGTCCCGATAACTGCTCATAGGTATGTACGTGCAGGTATGTATGTGTATACACATTGACATCAACAAGACGCGCCGGCGCCTTCTCGATCCGTCCGCCTTTCCGCCTCGCAGCGCGCGGTCGGGAGGCCAGCGCCGACGGCAAAATTGTCCGCAGACGTTTGAAGTTTATGGTCACAGTCGAAAAGTTGAAACAGGGACTGTTCGGGGCGTTGGAAGGCGACCTGGTTTTCGGGCCGATCCTTGGATCTAGGTCGGGGGCTCCATTCTAGGCGTAGGCTCGCCGCGGCCAGAACAGCCCCTTAGTTCCTCCCTCGGCGCGGTTGAAGCAATGCGATGGCTCTGGCGTTCTGGCGGCGGTTGCAAAGTCGCCCGCAGACAACCGAAGTTTACGGTCATTTGTGTTCTTATGGTTCTCTGAGGACTGGCGGTTGCCGGCCAAGCTCGAGCTGAACGCCACCCTCCTGGCCTCCGCGCGGGCCCCTTGCGGCCTCTATATCAAGGGCCTCGAGCTCGGCGGAGATCAGGGCAACGTCAATATGGGTTGGATGCGCTTACGTGGGAACGTATTCGAGGTTTTCGGACGTTCTTGTTGGTTTTCGGCGGGTTCCCAGCCTCGGGGTGGTTATCAGCAGCAAAGCCTCGCCGAGGGCGTTACGGGGATGCCTGGATCGTCGAAAACGGCCGCCAGCCAAACGAGCCATGGTCCGAAAACCAAGCCAATCGACGTGGGCGATGGGCTCAGGGGGGGGACGCATCGGCCCCCCAGCCCGACTGCTGATAGGGGCCCGATAGCCTACCCCGCCAAGGATGTTTCGGATTCGCCATCGGGGGCCCACTCGCCGATTTATCGGCGATGCCTCGCCGATCCCAGCTCGATGTTTCCCTACCTGGGCTGGCCCCCCCAAACTCAGACCCCCGACGCCGTGATTTTTCTCGCAGCGTCTACCCCTAGAGGTCTCGACCCATTCCCCAGGACCAGCTTCTCATTCTGGGAAGTTCTTCAACGGTCCCGAGGCCCGCCCTGTTGTAAGGTCCCCGAGGGGCCGAAAATGGCACGAAACACTCCGTCGTGATCATTGGCTTACGCCACACCGACGACCCCTTGGGGCGGCAGCAATCGTCCCCCACGTGGCCTGTCCGGACAGCTTGTGAGGCCCCTCTGGACACGTTTTGGAACCCTCTTAGGACCGTCCTGCCGTTCCCCGGGGGCCGTCGTGGAGCCTTTTGGAGGGTCCTTTGAGGTGCCAGAGGTCGATCTTGTAGGTTTACTGGGCCGTTGTGGGCCCCGTGTGAGCCCAAGAAGCGAATCTGCTGAACATGCACGTTTTCCGTAGGGGATGGAACGGTGTTTGCTTCTGGAGACCTGCTTGAAGCGCCTCGTGGTCGCGTATGCAAGCGTCTTGGACGCCCATGGGGCTGTCTGGAGGCAATCTTAGGCGGTTTGGACCGCGTGGGCCGTCCGGGCAGCCTTTGGGAGCCCTCCTAGTCCGTTTTGGAGCCTTCTTGGGATTACGTCGTGCTTGTTCCTCTACAGAAGGGAAATCCCACAATAGTCAAAAAATAGTCCGGGGACGATTTGTTTACCATTTTGGGGCGTTTTGGTGGCATTTTTTGAATATGTTTTATTTTTCACCCAAAACCCCTTTGTAAGGGGGACACGTCCGACTTAATCTTGGGACCGTCCTGCGGCTTTCCTGGGCCGTTGCTATGGTTTCCGGAGCGTTCGTGGATCGCCTGGAAGCCGTCTTGGAGCCTTCTTGGGAGCCTCTTCGGGTGACAGGTGTCGATTTTTGGAGGTTGATTGGGCCGTTGTGGGCCTTGTGAAATCCCAAGAAGCGAATATGCTGAAAATGAACGTTTGACCTAGGGAATTGGACGGTTTTTGCTTTTGGAGGCCTTCTTGCAGCGCCTCGTGGTCGCGTTTTCAAACGTCTTGGACACCCATGGGGCCGTCTGGCGGCGACCTTGGGCGGTTTGGACCGAATCGTCCCCCGCGTGGGCCGTCCGGACAGCCTTTGGGGGCCCTCTTGCCCCGTTTTGGAGCCTTCTTGGGACCGTCCTGCGGCTTTCCTAAGCCGTTGCTATGGTTTCTGGGGGCTTCGTGGGTCGCCCAGACGCCGTCTTGGAGCATCCTTGAAAGCCTCTTGGGCTGGCGAGGGTCGATCTTGGAGGCTTCTTGGGCCGTTTTGCGCCGCGTGGAAGCCGAATGGGCGAATGTGGTGAAAATGCACGTTTTCCCTTGGGAATGGGGCGATCTTTGCTTCTGGAGGGCCTCTTTGGGGTGCCTCGTAATATTGTTTCAAACATCTTGGAAACTTATGGAGCCGTGTGGAGGCAATCTTCGGCGTTTTGGGGCGATCTTTCGTCGATTCGTAGCTCTCTTGGACCGTTCCGGGAACCTTTGGAACCTGTTTGGCCGGTTTTGGGGCCTCCTGAGGCTCCAAGTGTGCGGATGATGGTGGATTTGCCCCCCCCCCCCTCCAAACGGGCCGGACCAGGCCCCTGGGGGAGGGGTTTGGGAAGGGGGAAGCATCTCATACGCCGTGACCCCAAGGGGTCGGCGGATTTTTTGCGCGACGCAAAGGGACCTGGGATGCAACTCGTCCCCTCCTGTGCAGTGTCTCCGTGTCTCCCCTAACGTTCCCCTCAGGAGAGTGGCTGGGCGGCCAGGTGGTGAGCGTGGTGCCACTCCAGCGCGACGCCGAGGGCCAGAACGGCGCGGGCAGCAGAACGCTGCGCGAGTTCTCCGTGCGGGTCGGGACCTCGCGCGAGGCCCCAGGCGAGTACGAGGAGCCAAAGAGTTATGTAAAAACTCAGGCCCACTCGCGTTGTGAAAAACTCACCATGGGCGTTTTTTTGTACTTTCGGTGTCTGGGGGCATCGCCTGGCCCCTGCGACTGTGACAAGATAGCTCAGGAGGACAAGCGGGCCGAGGGGAGGGCAAATCTCAACCTGCCAATCCATTGCTGGGGGGGGCCCTGTGGGCGGCACGAGGGGTCACCCCACCAGAAGACCATTCTTACGCGCAGTCGATTGTCCAAAGGTTCAGAAGACCTCCGGTCGTCTGAGGAATCTTTGATACGCCTTCTCCAAAACACCTCCTGTGAAGTTCATCAGCCTTACGAGCAGCATGAACAGCTACTCCCAGGAAATGGGTCGATACCCCTGGGGGTCCACGTTGTGAAATAATCGCGATGCCGGGGCTCTGGGAGATCAGAACGCAGCGCAAAGACTCAAACCTGCGGAGATCCGCTCGGAGCTCCCGGGTTGGCGCCCGGCCCCCCTCCCGAGGCGGGGAATCATTCCATAGGCCCAGGTGGTCGATCTTTTGGGACCTCGGCGGGCGAAGGATATAGTTGCGTGTGCGGAAAAGAGTGAGGGGGCGGGCGGGCACGGGGTCCAGGTGGGTCGCGGGTGGGTCGCGGGGTTGGGTCGCGGGTTGGGTGGCGGGGTTGGGTCGCGGGTTGGGTGGCGGGTGGGTCGCGGGCGAGGACGACGGCGCAAAAACAACACCACAAGCAGAATCCGCTGGACGAAACGCCACTTCTGCCACGCACCCAGGCACAATGAATGGCCGTTCGGTCCCCTCGCTGTGACAGTCGGGCCCGCTGGGGCCTATTCATTCTAGTATCCACCGCCCTCTGGGGTCCCAGGTCATCGGCTCCCTGGGCGATGGACATGGATAAATCCCCGCCTCGTAGCCCTTGCGCGCGCAGCGTGTCAGGGATTGGGGGTGGTCGAGCGGTGATCTGACCACTGGCAGGCTCGTGAAGGGCTTAAGCACGTCTGCTGTCCCTCGACTCGCGCTGGAGCTTTCACGATCTGTTCCAGGCTTACTTCGATCCATTTGGATGTATCTCGATTCACCTCGCTCTTCGTTGGAGGCAGTAGTGAAGGAATGTGCCCATATGGCTCCAGACCCTGGACTATTCCTTCTCTGAAGAGGGCGGCGGTGACATCCATGGGCAATACGATTGGAGTTCCACCGGCTTCCAGACGCTGCATTCCTTGTCTCATGGTCCTTCATTCATTGCCCTCGCCGTATTTGGACCTGCCCGGATCCTTACCCCGATGTATATCTGGCCTGATCCCCGCAAGTCGATTGTTATAGTAGGGAGAGGGGGGAAGGCTTCTAAGAAGGAGGCTGCCTCTCAGAAGGCGTCGACCCTAGTTACATCTACAGACAAGACCCGCGCCTTTCAAGAAGCAGGGGTGCTTCTGAGAAGCCTTCCCCCCGCCCCCTGCCCCCGTCTGCGCGTGGCCGAAACAGAGCCGTCGAGCCCTTACGGGCAGCCTCTCTCTCCAAAGGAGTGGGGCAGCCTCGGCAAGGCGGGCCGCAGCCTCTCCGGCCGCGTCCGCCTCGTGCCCGCGTGGCGGCAGGTGTACGCCGACGCCGATCGGCCGCAGGAGGCCAAGGCCTTCCAGTTCCACATCCCGGCGGCGCGCGCGAGTCGCCACGGGGGAAGCGGGTCCCGAACCGTTCTCGGACAGGGAGCCCTCCACGGGTCCGAGAACGGCTCGGGATGACACACTTTCCCCAGGGGACGGCACCAGGGTCCAGGACCCTTTTCCCTCAGAACCCGTTTGCCCCATGCTCCCATGCTAAGCGAGGGTCGGAGGAGGCCAAGCCCACGATGTTGGTTCGCAACGTCGACCCCTCGAGGACTGGCCCCATTTCTTGGGACGGGCTGTTCACCTTGACTCTGTTTCTCACCGGCCCCGGGACCCGGTGAGGGCCCCCTTGAAGCCGAAGTGAGCAACAAACCTCCCATCGTGATTCATGGGCTTACGCTGCACCGCCGACCCCTTGGGGCGGCAGCAAGAGTGAAAGGCAGAATTCGCGGAACGCGCGCGATCGCTGGGCAATCTTGGGGTTTTCGGCCTGTCCTACGTAGCGTGTGGGATTCAAGGGGGGGCTTTGTAGGGGATTGTTGAAGTTTTTCGTGGTCTTATGTTTCTTGGGGTCTTCACGGGGCCTGTCCCAGGCCTCTTTTCCCACCTCCTGGATAGGCTCGGGGATCGTTGAGACCCAGCCGGGGTTGCGTCCGGCCAGAAGTTCGAGAGTGGACCCAGCTGTGTCGACGAGGAGATTCCTGAAGGCCCAGAGGTGGCGGAGAGCGCCCACGACCTAGGAGTCTTATGCCTCGAGCCTCGATCCACCCCGTGTTCCTTCCTTTGCGAAGGGGTGGCACCAGCCAGGGAGGTCGATCCTCATCCCGGACTTTCGGCGGTGGTCCCTGGTACCGAAAACGGTTCTTGGAGGCTGAATTCGAGGAGATGCCTCGGGTGGTTGGAAGACAACGAAAATATGTGAGACATCGGCGGCGACGACGAAATATGTTTCTTCTTCTTCCTCCTCCTCCTCTTCCTCCTCCTCGTCCTTCTCTTCTTCTTCTCGATCGAGGTAGATGCCCTGCGGCAGTTTATATTTTTGCATGTCCATATATATATATATACATATATATATACAGAGAGAGAGAGAGAGAGAGAGAGTGGCCTTCGGCCCATCCCGCCACCGTGCCTTGGTTGTCGGCCTGAGGTCCTTGATGCCTGGGCTGCGGGTTAGAAGTTTCATGCCTCAAGTTGTATTTGGGGCTTCTTTTGAGCTTCTTGGGGGCCTCTTGGGGGGCCTCTTGGGGGCCTCTTGGATCCTCTTGGGGGGCATCTTGGGGGCCTCATGGGCCCTGTTGGGCGCCTCTGTGGCCCCTCTGGGGCCGCTTCGGGGCGGAAGGCTCGGATTGTTGGTTTAGGCACCCCCTTCTTGGGCCCCTCTTTGGGCCGTCTTGGGGCACTCTTGGGCCGTCTTGGGAGCCTCTTGGACCGTCTTGACGCCCTCTTAGGCCGTTTCGAGCGCCTCTTGGGAGCCTCTTGGGCCGTTTTGGGGCGGTCTTGGGGGATCCTGGGGCCGTCTTCAACGCCGTGGAGGCCGAAAAGTCGTGTATGATAAAGATGCACGTTCTCCCATAGGAGTTCGACGATTTTGGCATCCGGGGCCCCTCTTGGGAATGCTCTTGGAGGCTTCCTGGGCCGTCTGGGAGGCTTCTGGGGCCGTTTTGGGTCCATCCTGAGCGTCTCGGGCCAACCTTTGGGCTGTCTCGGGGGCCTCTTGGGCCGTCGTGGGGGCTGCTTGGAGCCCCCTGGGGCCTCGTGGGGCCTGATGAGATTTTTGCCCCCCGCACCCCCACCCCTCCAAACCGGCCGGACCGGGCTCCTGGGGGAGGGGTTTGGGGAAGGGGAAGCATATGACACGCCGTGACCCCAAGGGGTCGGCGGATTCTGTCATTGCGCGAGGGGGTTTGGGAAGAGAGCTCCAGGGAAGGGCCTAGATCATTGGATACCGTATTTGTTCGGTCGCGATCGGCAGCGAGTGGTCGGCATTCCAAATCGATCAGGACCAATCGCGACCGATTCCACAATCCCGGCCGATCGGTCGCGAGCGATAGTGGAATTTTCAGCACAATCGATAGCGACCGATCTCGTCGGTCGCGAGCAGGAAAGTCTGGCATCCAATGGTCAGGGCAACAGTCTGGTGACATGGAGCCGGCTGGGGGTCTGAGGTGGCCCATATTTTTTTCTAGCAAGAAGAGGGGGCAGATGTTCGAGGGTCCATGGGTTCGAGAAGGTCTCGTGTTTCTTTCCGCCTTTTGACCGTCGAAGGCAGATCCTGGGCGAAAAGCTGTACCAGATGGACCCCGTAAAGGGTCTGGGGACCGATGTCGACCAGAATTGGCCTCGTCCCCGCACTTCCTGATCGATTCTCTGGGGCCCCATTCGGTTCAGAATCCCCAGCCGCCTCCAAATGGTGACCACACCGTGTAATTACTGAGTTAGTGTGGATTCTGTACAGCCTAGAGACTCGGGTCGCTCTCCGAGGACATGTCTGGCGACGGCGGCCTCGAGGGTACCAAAGCCGTGCAACGACTGACCATGTGGTGAGGCTCTTGGGGATTCCGAGGTCTCGGGGGCCCCCCAAGAGAGTGCAGGGCGGAGAGGGGGGGGGGGAGGCGGATCACGATGGCGACGGCGACGGCGACGGCGACGGCGAAGGCGAAGGCGAAGGCGAAGGTGACGACGGCGACGACGACGGCGACGGCGACGGCGACAGCGCCCACGACGGCGCCCACGACGGCGGCGGCGGCGCCGACGACAGCGACGGCTGTGGCGAGCGGCGGGCGGGCGGTCGGTCAGGCGGCCCATGGCCTCCCCCGCCTCCCCAAAGGGCGGGCGGGCCCCTCCTCGGGCGGCGGCTTTCCTGAGAGGGCGGAGGGCTTCTCTCGGGAAGGCCTGGGGCACAGGCCCATCGCTCCACGGGTCGTCCCCGGGAACGCTCCCAGCGCATCCGGGAACGCTCTGGATCGGCCACAGCGCCCGATACATCTTGAACAGCCTCGAAGAAGAGGAATCATAACAATAATGATAATCACAGTGTTCGTGTAGTAGTAGTAGTAGTAGTAGTAGTAGTAGTAGTAGTAGTAGTAGTAGTAGTAGTAGTAGTAGTAGTAGTAGTAGTAGTAGTAGTAGTAGTAGTAGTAGTAGTAGTAGTAGTAGTAGTAGTAGTAGTAGTAGTAGTCGTAGTAGTAGTAGTAGTAGTAGTAGTAGTAGTAGTAGTAGTAGTCGTAGTAGTCGTAGTCGTAGTCGTAGTCGTAGTCGTAGTAGTAGTAGTAGTAGTAGTAGTAGTAGTAGTAGTAGTAGTAGTAGTAGTAGTAGTAGTAGTAGTAGTAGTAGTAGTAGTAGTCGTAGTAAGAATAAGAATGATAACCATAATGAGAATAATATCAGTAATACTAGCAGTATTAGTAATAATATTAACACTAAGAAGAATAAGCAGTTGGATAAACATAAACTTCGGAGCTCCTTGCAGATCTCTTGGATCGGCGTTGGGACCCCCTGGCGGCGCCTCCAGCGCCGCCCCTGGCGCAGTGGGTCCAGCGTCGACCCCAGCTCTGCCCGACCTCGTCTCTTTGTCTACCTTCTGCCGCCGCCTCATTCCCATAAGAGGCGGTCAGTCCTGCACGGGCCTCATGTGAGGGCCTCTGGAAAGGCGTGGTGGTCCCTAGGGGGGGGGGCCTTCTCAGAAGACGCGGTCGGGAATGTGTTGCTTAGCGTGTCGCGCCGCTAGCCAACCACGCTTCGGCGTGACGCGCTAATCACGTCCCAGTCCTCAAGCATTGACCCCCCGAGCTCTTCCCAGCCTCCCGCACAGCGGAGCGGAGCGACACGCCATGCGCTCGCAGGGTATGGCGTGTCGCTGGGGCCGCCGCCGCGACGCCGCAAGCAAACGTTTATGACCGTGTGGAGGCTTTTTGTTGGAGATTCCTACAAGTTTGCTTGCATGGAGGAGGCGGGGGGAGGGGCGTGGCGAGGCCCAGAAGGAAATCCGAATTTCCCGCAAGTTGGGACTCATTGCGCGCCGTTTCTCCCCAGTACTGCCTGAATGGGCGGCGGACGGGGAGAACGCCGTGCAACTACATGTGCCGGAGCCTGGAGAGAAGCAGCCTCGTGCGCGCCGCCGAACGTACGGGGCGACGGCGCGGGGCAGGGTGCCACGCTGGAGGCGGCCCAGGCGGCGCACCAGGCCCTCGACTTCAGCGCGGGCGGCCTGAAGAGCCTGGGCTTTGCGAGCCTAGGCGGCCTCCTCGGCACGGAGGGGCACGACAGGCAGATCGAGCAGCTCTCTGACGAGTGCAGAGCCTTCCGCGCGGGCTCCGCGCACGGAAGGGCCAGGAGTGGGCCGCCAGACCTATCGGGCTCGTCGATGGCCGCCGTCTGGGATGCGCCCCTCTGAGTTTCACGCGCCGCCCCCCCCCCTGAGGCTGTTTTTCTTCAGGCTATGGTATGTTCTTGCGTGGCATTTCCCTCTCCCTCCCCCTCCGCCGCCTCTCCTAACAGCGCTGGGCCGAGCATGCGTGCAAGTCAATCCCGACTTGCGCGGAGTCCAGATTCCCTTTCGGGCCTCGCCAAGCCCCCCCCTAATCCCCTCTATGCAAGTAAAAATGCCAGAATCCAAAAGGAAAACTGCCTCTCTCCTCCCACCCCTGGCCGCTGTCCCACGGCGGGCACTTCCGAAAGACGCCTTCAAGTGTTGCGAGGGGCCTGTCGGCGGACATCAACGTAGACCGCCCCAGAAGTTGCACTCCTGTGAAAAAGGCATCGCCCCCGTCCATCCGACATCGGCCCGCGGCCTTGGAAACGCGCGCGACTGCCGCAGGCAAAACATGCGGATAATGAAGGACCGCGTCTGTCTTGGACGGGGCTCGTGGCTCCCTGGGGCCCCTCCGTGGGTGTTTCCTCGGGCGGTCCTCGCGAGTCTGGGTGCAGCGGGGTCCAAAAATGGGCCACGCTCCACAGCTCGGACTTTTTTGTATAGAGTCTGGCTGGCAGCAACAGGCTTGAGGGGCGGGAGGTAACTGGCAGTGCCTGGCACTTGGCCGCCAGCTCGTGGGGTTGCTGCCTGGGCGGCATTCCGGGCGCATCCTTTGTTGCCCTGTCGTTTTCACGAGGTTGCGCGTCGTTGAGAGGATGTTGGCTCTGCAATGGTATATGGTCTGAGTTGGTGGTGCCATCTTCATGCGTTCCTCATCTTTGTCCGCCTCCGCGTGCTCTTCTCTTCGTCTCGTGCCAAAGCGACGCCATTCGTTTTGACGACGTCGCCTCAACACGAGAAGGAGGAGTAGGGAGAAGGAGGAACGGAAGAGGGCAACGGATGGGAAGGAGGCGAGGATCAGGCCGGAATGGTGCAGAGGACTAGGAGGAGGAAAGGGAGGAGGAGCAGGAGGAGGAGAGTCAATGAGGAGCACGAGGGTGGGGAGAGCAGGAGCAGGAGGGGATGGGAGAGGAGGGAGGAGGATGAGGAGGACATCAGGAAGAGCAGAAGTGGGAGCAAACGCCAGGAGGGAGGGAGGAGCAGGGGTCGAGGGATGGCGGGGAGCAAGGGGATACGACCGAAACAGATGACAGGGCCATGCCGCCCATCCCTCCGAGGAGGAAGAGGCACCCATACCGCTGCCCTTCCCTCGTTCTCCCCTTGTTGGGCTTTCTGGGTTGCCCTCGTCGCCACCGCTGGAATCGCCTCGCACTTTTAGTCTGAACGCGCCCAGGGAGAGGTTCGGGCACTAGGTGTATCAGTACCCTTTGGTTTCCCCAATGCCTGCCTTCCTCCGCCCTCCCTCCCACTCCCCTGCCCGCCGCCCCTCACACTTACCTGCCAGGAGTACTCCAGAAGACCACCATGGCCTGTGAGGTCGGGTTGTAGCCGAGGTTTCGAGCAGCCCTGATGGGTCGATAAGTCTGGAGGACAACTCTGAGAACTCTCTCCCATCGCCCCCCTCTCCCATCCCACCCCTTCCCATCCCCCCAACGAAGCCCCCCCCCCACACACAGACACACTAAGTAAGCACAAACTGCAAGAGGTCCTCAAAACAATCTCCTGTGTCGTCGGCGCTGGGTTCCCCCCCCCGCGCGGCAGCTCCTCCGCCGCCCCTGTGTTGGCCAGCGAGCGGGGTGCTCACTCCCTTCGTCGAAATCCTACACCGGGCCTTTCCTGGAGCGCGCTCCGACCAGGGTCTCGAGGCAGATCTGGCCGTCCTGGGCGGGCCCCGGTGACCCATAAACAGCGGCACCAGTCAATATCCTCTCCTTGTCCCAGTCGTCGTCTCCTTTCCCCCCTCGCCTCCTATCCCTTGAGATCCGACGTCGCGCGTCGCCAGAGCAGATCAAACATAATGAGAGCACACGATGGGGGTCCTCGACAAAATCATTCTAGAGTGTTTCTCCAGCGGGATCAAGCTGTGAGGGTCCCAGGGCCCGAAACCGGCCGAAAACGCCCAATGTGAAACATTGCGACGCCTGAACAGCGGTGTTTTTGTTCACCCTCCTCGTCGCCGCTTCCACATGTGATGGCGGCCGACTGTGCGGGCCTCGCCTCCTCCAACTCCACCTCTCTTTCCCTCATTCAGGATGCAGCTCCTGAGAGGTTCAGGGTAGCATCGGCGCTGGTATATTCGTGGGCGAAAACCGGCCCAACCCCGAAGAGTCCCAGTTAACCCGCTGAGTCCCAATTTGTTCGGCTCAGTCCCTGGCCTAATCCAGCCTGTTCCGGTTTTCTCTGGCGCGTAATCGGGCCTATCTGAAACAATTTAAGCTCCCGAAGACCTGTCAGACATTGCCTCCTACCCCTCCCCTCAACTCCCCTCGCCCTCACCCTCCTCCCCTGCCCCTCCTCCCCCTCATCCTCCTCCTTACCCTCGTCGCCGCTGCCGCAGGTGAGGGCGGTCAACAGTGCTGGCCTGACCTCCGCGTTCACCTCCATCCTGTCGCTGGTCAGCGCCACCGTGCCCGGGCAGGTCGACACGCTCACGGGCTCGAGCAACACGCAGGATCAGGTGGCCTCAGATCGCAGAGGACTGGGGGGCCTAGACCCATCCGCGTCGGGAAACAACACGACTGGCATTATTTTGTTATTTTTGGATTCTTGGGGCCCTTGCTGGGCCCAAGGACAATCAAACAACGATTCAGGATGATGAACATCGGGTCCTGAGGCATGGAGTCGACACGTTCGGGCATCCTCGTTGTGAAAAACATCATGACCTTGTGGGTCTGGGGAGGGAGATGGATGATGAAGATGATGATGAAGATGATGATGATGATGCTGATGATGATGGTGATGATGGTGATGCTGATGCTGATGATGATGTTGATGCTGATGATGACGATGGTGATGATGTTGATGATGATGACGCTGCTGATGATGATGCTGATTCTGCTGATGATGATACCGACGACGATGATGCTGATGACACTGGTGGTGATTATGATGCAGATCATGATGAGGAGGATGATAATCTAAAGGCTGCCGCCTCTGCCGCCGACCCCAAGGTGTATTGGAACGATGTTTGGGCGGTTCGCTGCCCTCTTGGACGTCTGGGGGGCGTTGTCGAGCTCTGGGGCGGTCGTGGGTACTTTTTGAAGGCTTCTTGCGCCGTCTTGGGGTGGTTTTGGGGTGTCTCTGGCATTCGTGTCCACGGTGTGAAGGCCGAAAAGTCCAAAACGCTTAAAAGAGCCCTTCCCGCGGGAAAAGAATGATGTTGGGATGTTTGGGCCTTTGTGGCGTCTCTTCGATCTTCTGGGGGGCCGCTTTGGGTTTTATGTTGGACATCATGGGACCTTTCACAGAACTCGTGGACAGCAGCTTCGGCCGTTGTGGGTCGTCCAGGTAAGATGTTTGAGACCGGTGAGCCTCTCCGCGGCGGCTCGGCCGGGCCTGGCCGCTTCTTCGGCTTACGCCACACCGCCGACCCCTTGTTTTTTTCTGGCGCGTGGCGTGTGCGAGCAGACCTCCTCCTACCTCCTACGTCGTCTTACTCCTCCTCCTCCTCTCCTTCTGCTGATCGTCCGTCTCCGCCGGCAGTGTGGCCGTGCCCGCAGCGGACGACAGGACCAGCCTCCGGGGGGAGGGGTTTGGGGAGGGGGAAGCATCTCACACGCCGGTGACCCCAAGGGGTCGGCGGAATTCCCTTCTGTTTTGACGTATCTAAGTATTTGTGGGTGCTTGTTTGGATGAAGATCAGAAACCTGATTGGCATCGATGCCAACGGACTCAATACTGCAATGTTTTTCATGGGAGGCGACCAGAGTGGTGCTCAATTGCATTGGCACATCGCAGCTTTCAATTTACTTTACATCGGGCAAAAGGATTGGTTATTGATTCCACCGAGGTATGCTGCAGTCAGCAAGATCCCGTCTTGGGAGTTGTTTCACATGCAGGGCTTGCGCTTGGAACATATCTATCGTTGTACACAGCAAGCTGGGGACTTAATCCTTTTGCCCGATGCTGGGGGGCATGCGACATTATGTCACGGGTTCTCGGCTGGCCTGGGCGTGTTGTATGGTTGGCGAGATCCCCGAGCCAGACAAATGAAAACGGCCCAATCTGGGCTGAAGAAGGCCCAGGAGGCCCCTGACGCGTCCCAAACTGCTCCAAGGGATCCTCCAGGAGGACATCCAGGACGATCAAATTCATTGATTTTCATGGTGGCGGAGTGAGGGGATTGCGCTCACGCGAATCCATTTCAAGGCGTGCGCGCGTTTCGCTTCGGGGCAGGTAAACGTCGTCGCGTTTATCTTCTTTTGTTTCTTTCTTCTCTCCGTCCAGGGGGGGGGCCCGGCGGGGCCTGGCCGGGGGGCGGGGGCGGTCTCGCGGGGGCCCGGAGGGGGGCGCGGGCGCAGAGGAGAAGGAGGGCCCGATCGTGGGGCGGAAGCCGAGGCAGGGCTTAGGGGCTGGGACACGAGCATCGCGAGCGCGCTCGTGAGCGCGTCCACAATCCCAGACATGCGACGTCCTGAGAAAATCAGGACGGCTATTTTTCGTTGTTTTTTACATCTGAGGCCTTCGCCGGGCTCCAGGACCGTCATAGAACGACTCAGGATGAAAAATCCGGTCTTGGGGAAAGGGTAGGGACTTCCGGGAACCGTGTTCTGAAAAAGTTACGACGTCGCCATGTGTGGGACTAGTCTCTCTGTCTCTCTCGCTCTCCCTCGTCCTCCTCTGCCCGAGCGGGGGCGGCGGGGCGGCGACGCCCCGCCCGGGGAGGGCCGCCATGGGCTCCGCCGCGGCCGCCCCGCGCGTTGCGCTCGGCGCCGCGGTGGCGGCGTGCCTCGCCGCCAGGGGTGGTGCTCGGCCC